GTCCACAATAATTAATCATGATTATATATATTAGCTTTAATTAATGATTCAAATAAACAAATATAGGGAGTGAAATAAATGACAATGGCTTTGGCAGGCACAAAAAAGTTGCAGAAGAGGAATTGTGATGACGATGGGTGTGGGCAAAAATCTGCAACTTGTGTTAGTTTTGTTAGAAATATTCAATACCATATTACTTACGTCGCTATCATCATTATTGTTATGTGTTATGAATTTCTGAACCTCTTTCAATGTGCAGAGACACGCCATCTCCGTGCTTCCCTCTCAATTATAATGTATATTTTCCTTTTTATTATATGCTTTTTATATACCCTCACTTTTGTCACATTCAAATATATTTCCTAGCTACCCCTAAATGCCATCTACTATTTAATATATGTGCATGCATGGTTTTATGTTTTCCAATTACCTCCCTTTACTTTGTTCTTTTTCTTTTATATATTGGGTCGTGTTGAATAATCTTGATTAGCTGAAAAGTTGACATCTTTCAATCATTTTAATTATCATAGTTTGGGGTTTGGTTACATAATTAATGTGATGAAGATTGAGAAGTAAATGGAATGGAATTGAATTGACTGTGCAAAGAATGAAGCTTGATAAATATATATAGAAGGGAGAGATCTGAAAAATGGCAGAGAGAAAACAACAATTATAGGTTAATTTGAAAAGCAAAAATTAATGTGTATTTAATTAAATGTGCTGCATTCATTCATAGCCAAATTAAAACAAGGGAATGTTCTCATTGCACTCAAGTTCTTTCATTACCATTTGGGAGCTGCCATTCTCAAGCCCTAGCCATGCACGTTGAGAGAGATAGAGAGACAAGTTTTGTCTAATTTTTTCATGTGACGACACCAAAATCTAATGAACAAAATCATCCCATTAAATTGATTGTAAGATGAACTTGAGTCTTTTATTTTTTTTATTTTTTATTTTTTTTTTTTAGAAAAGAGGTATCATTTCATTAACGAATATGTGATAAACATACAAGACAAAAAGGAATTGATTAGATAAAGACAACCCAATTAAGAGAAATGATAGCAATATCATAATTACAAAAGAGATTAGATTTGGAAGACCATGAAAAACATCTACAATTGTACTCCCAAAGATGTTACATAAGTGGGTTTTGTGTGTAATTTCTTGATGTTACATAACTGGGTTTTGTGCGTTATTGATTAACTATAGTCTAAGTAAAAAATTAAACGTAAAGTTCTCTCCTTTTATACTCCACACTTCATTAATCAAGTCATAATGATTTAAAATGTCATGATTAGCCATCTGATCATATTCATGAATTGAAGTTAATGATTAGGAAATAATATAAGAAATTATCTGATCTCTCTCTGTGGCTGTCTGTGATATATAGTACAAAATGGTACAAAGAACAATTAAGCTAGCCAAGCCGGGAAGTGATGAAAGCCAAGGCTACAGTTTCCAAGGAGATAGAACCCCAAATCTGTCGAAGAATCTAATGCCAACCATTCTTCAAACCATTTGAATTCCATCTTTATAAGAACCCTTTTTTCATCTTTCAAATCCCTTAGCTCTCTCTTCTTCTTCATTGTTCCTTCTCTTTCTTCTTGCCCTTTTGGGGGTTTTGTCCCTGCTGGCCGTCTGATCCTCCCATATCCAACGGTTAGTATTTCAAGAGAGCTAATAGACTTGGAAAATGGTGTTGATGGTGATAGTTTAGTCACTTTCAATTGTCTCGCTCCTCTTATTTACTTCCCCTTTGGAATCCTTTCTTGATCTTGACAATATATGATCTCTTTTCCTCCGTTTTCTCCTATCTGGGTCCATTTCCTTTGGCTCTTCTAATTTTTCAGCACTTTCTCCGCAAGAAAAGTACGACCATGGTTGATAGTTTGGCTGATTTTTTCCAACAAAATGAAGAATTTGTCGACAATCCCCATTTGGAAGGAGACGACCTCTTCAGCATCTTTGAGAGTTTGGAGAGTGTTGCAGAGTTCACCGTCATCGAGGACGACATCGAAGCTTTCAAAGACGGTGAAGAGACCACGAGCTTGGTCTTCTCCGAGACTGAGCTTGAGACTTCGCCTAAAAGCAAGCGCTTGAAGATGACGACCACGATGTCGTCCCCAATGGCAGCTCCTTCCGAAGAACCAAATCCAGATGGGCCTCAACGAATGTCTCACATTACGGTGGAGCGCAATCGTAGGAAGCAAATGAACGAGCACTTGTCCGTATTAAGGTCACTCATGCCGTGCTTCTATGTCAAGAAAGTAAGCACTTTTGAGTTTAGTGGTGATTTCTTACCGTATATCAGACTCAGAATAAAGTTCCTTCCATGTTCGAACTTTTATAATCTCATTTCCTCCACTTACCATATGCATTATAAGCATGCTTTTAAGGGTTAAGTGGTTAACATTTGTTGATGAGGGTTTTATGTAAGATTTTCACATATATGCTTTGATTTTTACTTCACTCACGAATCCAAGTAATTAATTAATGTTGTGTTCTTCTTCTTCTTCTTCTTCTTGAATGCACTTGACATAATTCAGGGAGATCAAGCTTCAATAATTGGAGGGGTGGTGGAATACATCAAAGAGTTGCAGCAAGTTCTTCAATCTCTAGAGGCCAAAAAGCAAAGGAAAGTTTATAGTGAAGTGTTGAGCCCTAGGGTAGTTTCAAGTCCAAGAGCTAATTTGGCAATGAGTCCAAGAAAACCACCACTGAGTCCACGCCTTAACTTGCCAATTAGTCCAAGAACTCCACAACCCACTAGCCCTTACAGCAAGCCTCCCCGGTTGCAGCAACCTCCCAGCACCGGCACCGCCGCCGCCGCCGCCGCCGCTGGTGGTGGTGGTTATAATATGGTCTCTTCTGCAGGCAGCTGCACCACCAACGTCAACAACAATAACTCATTAGAGTTGCCGTCGCCTTGTAACTCTTCCTCCACTACCACAAATTCCTCCATTGACATGAATGCCAATGATCTTGTGGCCAATTCTAAATCCGCCATAGCTGAAGTTGAGGTGAAGTTTACGGGTCCAAATGTGGTTTTGAAGACGGTTTCTCCTCCAATCCCTGGTCAGGCTGTGAAGATCATTTCTGCACTTGAACAACTCTCTCTTGAAATTCTCCATGTCAAGATCACCACCCTTGATGAAACCATGCTCAACTCTTTTACAATTAAGGTATATACACAACAAATAAAGTTTTTTTTTTTCCTTCCTTCCAACTTTTCAAGATATAGAAATATTAATATTCATAGAGTTTCATCTCAAAATCAGATAATCTATATATATTATCATATAATCCATATATATTATTTTCATCCTATGGACTTTAGTTAATTAAACTCATCAATTTGAATTAGGGTTCAAGGATTTCAATTGGGTTTTTCTCAAAACAACAAAAGGAGTTTAAAGAGATTGAAATTAAAAAGGAATATAAATGGTGGGGGCTTTTTTTTTCTTTTTCTTTTTCATCATCTCATAGTTTAATTTTCCTTAAAACCGATTTGGTCATTCATTTAATTCCCAGCTTATGTGTTATTTCCTTTTTGTATATGGAAATTATTTAGCACAAGCACCAAAGCACTCCAATTGTTTGCCCCATGTTCAAGGTTTGTTTAAGCACACAGATGGCTTCCATGCATGCCCAAAAACGGCTCAAATTTCAGAGCTGAAATGATAGTTTTTCTGCATGCTCAGAGAGATGAAAAAAGCTGATATCTCCCTTTATACACAACAAAATTTGCATCTTTTGTTAATTAATCCCATCTGCAATTTAGTGGTGTGGTTAGTTAATTAATCAAATTGTTGATTAGAGTGAGCTAATGGGGTTGTGGCTTTTTTTGCTACAGATTGGAATTGAATGCCAACTTAGTGCAGAGGAACTGGCTCACCAAATTCAGCAAACATTCTGCTAATTGAAGAGGAAAAATAGTTGGTTCTGATTACTTTAATTGCCATGGCCTTTCTTCTTTGCTTTCTCTGTCTACAGAAGGGTACGGAGCTAGCTAGCAGAAATAAAGGAGGATTCCAAAGTGGGGAGGGATTTTAATCACTGCCCTTTAACAAACAATGTAACTCTCTTCTTAGATTCTCTTTTTTGAGTAACAAAAAATTAATGTGTAAAACTGTATGTTAATCAGTGATTAGCTCTTGGCTTTGTTGTAAGTTGTAAGGTAACCCCTTTAATTAATTTTATGTAATAGATAGATCTGATCATTCTTATGATCAAGTTGCCACCTACCTTTTTAATGTACTATTTATGGCTTCAGACTATATATTTTGGTAATGTTAATTAAGCCTCCCAACTCCACTTTTTTGTTTAATTTGAGTTGATTTTTTGGGGGGAAAATTAGTTTCTACTCTGTGATGTGTCCTGTGAGCAAAAATTTAATCTTCTTTTGATTTTTAGAGTAATAATTTAGTCTCTAAATTTTTTATAGTTGGTAATAGTTTAATCTCTTAAATAGATCATAATTTAGTCCATAAATTTTAATATATAATAATTTAGTCATGGTAGTTTATCGATTTATAGTCTCTTTTTCAATATATATATATATATATATATGGAGAGACTAAATTATTGCCAATTAAAGTTAAAATATTAAATCCTGGCTTTAATGAAAGTTTGGGACACATATTTTTAGACCTTATACGTTATAAAATTGAACCTTAAAAATGGGGTGAAATCAGTACTCTCCTTTTTCTTAATTTTGCGGCTAAATCAGTTTAACATTTCTTTTTGTAGTTGACACAGAGATATTTTTATGAGTATCCATTATTATTTTTTTATTGTGTAAAGTATATTTATTTAAGTTGGATTGTACATTTTAAAATACAAAATTAAAGAACTGTTTGAAAACTATATTGTTTTTCGTTATTTGTTTTTTAAAATTATATTTATTTACTTTTTTTAGTATATTTTTAAAAACTAAAGTTTTAAATGTCGATATCGATGAATATCAAGATTTCAATTTTATGAAAATATTGATCATAAAATGTCGATATTGATGAATATTTCTAGAAAAGTTATAAAAATAAAAAAAAAATTGTAAAAAAATGTTTAAATTAACGAAGAAGTATTTTAACCTTTCTAAAAATTAGATTAATATTAATATAATGTATATAATTATATAATAGTAGTATTTTTGTTAATATTTTTCATATTTTGTCAATTATTTTGTAATTCCTAAATCTTAACAAAATTTTGTTAAGATAAAGAAAGTGGTTTTAAAGAAATTATATTTTGTGTCAAAAAAACATAGCTCAGCGCGGTAATTGACATATGAGGTTGTGACGGAAAAAAAACTATATATTTTGTTTTTTCAATTGCGGTTTGAAAGTGCTTTTAGAAATAATACAAAGAAACAAACAAAAAAAATTTTAGCCTAAAGGGAAAATTGCATTATCAATTATTTGCTGCAAATTTTAATGTGTGATTGGCCAAAAGAAGTTGTGTTGGCAGAGAACATTAACATTAAAGGTGACCATTCTATATGAATATATAGCTTCTGTAATTCTGTGAAGCAATTTAATTTCCACCTAATTTAGTCAAACAGGTGGCCCTTAAAAATAATTTCTTCAAAAGAAAAAAAAAACTAAAATTTTTATCTTAATTTAATTTCTTTGATTATATTTTACCATTTTTCTTAACAAATTTAGTATTTATATATGTACATGTAGCAACAATATTGTTGTAATTTCCCCTTAAAAAAATAACAAATAAAATTTAGCTGAACCACATTATGATTTGTAGATTTTGCAACCTAGAACAACTGTGTTCAAAATCATAATTTGTAGAACAAGGGGTATGATCCCTAAATTTCACATTTGATCTTAATGATTCTAATTTGTAATTATCATTTGAATAATAGGTTTTATTATTAATCAATTTTATCTCAAGTTAAACATGATTTGTTAAACTAGTCTATGTCTGAGAAATAAGATAAAAATGATATTTCGAAAATGAAGCCCGCTTAGACTACAATATTATTCTTTTTATTTAGAAAAATCCAACATTAATACAATAATATATATATCACATTTTGAAAAAAAAAAAAAAAAGGGCTGCAATAAGAACAAATATATAGAATAGGGTATGTAAATTTATAGGTGGGTTATATTGAATTAGCTATTAAATGCCAAGACTTGATAGGTACAACCAATATATAATATGAAGTGAAATAACAATCCACATCTATCTTTAATTTATCTAAGATTCTAGTATATATATATATACATACATATATATATAGGTTAATGTGGGCCAAAGTTTATATTATAAATACCCTAGAAGCTATAACAAAATTAAAGCATATACCAAATTTATATAATTCAAATACTAGCTAGTTACTTTTTGTTTAGTTAATATTGGATTATTAATATATGGTTTGTACTTTAAAATAGTTGTGTTTTGGTTTATATTCCTATTTTAAACTCTATACTTTTATGGTATTTTAGTCTCTAAACTCCTACACATTCTATTTTAAATTTTAAATTTTGTAAAAAACATTATTTTAATTTTTGTCTATAATTTTTTTCTTATCGATTATAGGGCTTTAAGCTCTTTAGTATCTGGTTCCATTTAATTTCTTTTGTTGACCTTTTATTAAAAATAAAATATATACATGAATAAACATTTTAGAATATCCCACTTCACATTTTGAGTACTAAACGAGTTAAAAGATTGTTATTAAATGATTAACAACAAATGGCAAAAATAATTTTTTTATAAAGTGTAAGTCTAAAATAGAAAACTAAAACATAATATTAAAAAATTTATGAACTAAAATGAAAGGCCAGATTATTTAAATTTGTTTACAATTTAAGAAAATATATAACTTATTAGACTAGGAGCAAATAAGCAATAATTTTACTCGTGAGATTAATTTGAAAGCGTAGTAGGTTCAAAATTAAACTATGTTTTATTTCTAATTGGTATGTTTGCCACACCCTTTAAAATGCTTACCAAATTTTAAAACCAAAAACTTTTTTCTTTCCTTATTTTTCAAAATTTGACTCAAATTTTAAAAATATTTCTAAAAAGTAAATAACAAAACAAAATAGGTGAAAATAGTATTTATAAACTTAATTTAAAAAAATATTAAAAAGAAGTCTTACGATCTCAATATTAGATAAAAACTTCACTGGCCAAATAGTTATCTAATAAATGGAGTCTTTAACTTTTCATTAATAAAACATAAGATTTAGTCTTGAACCTGACTCAACTAGTTAAAGCATCTATCTCCGACTATAGTTGTGAGTTTGAATTTTTACCTCCAAAATTAATAATAATAACAATAATAAAACATAAGATATATGAAACTTTTGCACAAAAAATTAAATTAATTAATTAAAAGAGACATGTGTGGTATAAAGGGTAGACACTCGGAATCATAGCAGGTACAGCTGGCTAGGCTAGCCCATCTGATTTTGACAATACAATAAAAACGTAATAAAATAAAAGCCTTAAGGCTTTGGGCCTAAATTTTTATGTGTGGGCTTGGTCCTTGTTATGGCCCAAACAATGGGCTTAATGCTCAAGTGGGCCTCCATGATTCGAATTGTACTTTAGGCTTTAGTACTAATTTAAATAATTCTCTTATAAAATTCATAGTTAACAAAGTTAACTACAATGTTATAATATTCTCAAACATGAATTACTGTTACAATTTCTCTAGAAATACAAACTTGAACATCTTCAAAGATGGTAAGAATTAACATTTTGGGCTTCAACGTTACTTTNGTTCGAGTTTAGAACCGAGGAGAATTAGGAGAAGAAATTTGTGTGGTCAAATGTGAAGCTTGGCTCCATTTCAACCTCACCAAATGGGAACTCTGAGCCAAGAGTTTGAGAGTTTAGAGCTGAAGTTGGTGAGGGAAAAGAAAGCTCAGATTTGTTTGCCTGCAACTTCTGATTCCCAACAAATCCTTCACTCAACCCACCTGAGGAGGCAGAGAAATAGCTCAACCCAGAACAAGATGTTGTTGGGGATAAAAATGAAGGAGGAAACTCGGCAAAGTTCACACCAACCGTCATCGATGCCGACTCGACATGGTCTGCAGCCTTGTAACTTGATGTGGGATCATAACTAAAAGCGGGAAACAATGTTGGTTCATGAGTGTCAAGATTTTCAGTTATGACTCTGAGGGATGCCCAAGAGTTCAAGAGAGCATCAGGTGAACTTTGCTGGTTTTGGTCAGGAACAGAGTGGCTCTGCTTTTGCACCAAATTTGGATCAATATTGCTACTGTTTGGTTGCTGAAACTCGGGTGCTGCTGATGGAGGACTGAGGTTGGTGACTTGGCTGCAAGTATGGTTTCCTCGGTACGTGATTTCGAAGACGGTCGGATCATCGTCGGAGCGTTGAACTTGTTTGGTTGCAAGACAACCTTGGAGGTTCTTGTGCGTGCATCTGTAATAGCCTCTGCTGGTGTGCAACAGACACATAACCATATAACCATTTTGCTGCAAAAATGCTTTAAAACAGCAAAATAGGCAAATAAATGTTAGAATAGTTAAGAGATCCAAAGATTTTACCTTGGATGTTTGGCACCAAGAATGTCTTTTTGACCATATTTCCTCCAGCAAAAGCCATCATCAAGAGAGCCTTCAGGGGCCATCCCTGGGCTAACTTGAAATTTCTGTGTCCAAGTTGGAAGACTGTTCCTACAAACATACAAAACAGGAAATATCTCAAAACTGTGAGATTTTAAGAACAGTTCAGATCATAAATAAGCTTTTGTTCAAAGTTACCTTTTGCGGGAAGCATTAATTCTCTGGTCCTGGTCCTTGAATTCACGGTCAGAGTCCTCACTCCTTGGACTTCCATTAGGGGATGATGGAGATTCAGATATTTGGATCCCAGTTGAGCTGAAAAATGAGAGTGCCTTTTCATAAGAAGATAAGATTTTCTGAACTAATAATTCACCATCTTCAGAAGGAGAAGCAGGCATGGATGATGAGGGTTGCACATTGAGATAAAGTTGGAGCTGCTTTGCCAATTCCTTCCCTCTAAGTAGCTCATTTTTCAGATTCTTCTGCTCCCATTCCCCAATATTCTCCATTTAATCACAACTGCCAAATTTATGTCCTCAAAGTTGGAGAAGAAGAAGAAGAAGAGTAATGCTATGAGCAAATGCTAGACAGCTAGGAAATGCATATATAAGGCTGACACCAGAAAGGTAGCATTAAAGTTTCAAAGGAAGGTGAGGAAACAATATAATGTTAGAATTAAAGCAAAGATATGAAATGGGTTGTGAGATAAAGTTGAAAAAACAGAGACTTTACAGTTTTACACTAGTGGGTATTGTGAAAGAGGAGCAAAAGATATGAATCCGAGTAGAGAAATGGAGAAAAGAGATGGGGAATCGTGAAGAGGAAGCAGGTGATGAAGGAGGCAATTTAAAAGAAAGCTCTGAATATTTTTGAATCCAAAGGAAAAGGAGGGAGAGAGAGAGTTTGACTCTCTTCAAAGGAGACCAGTCTTCGGTCGTAGATACATTGTTTGTAAATTGATTGAGAGATCAAAGTCCAATTGCTGACCAATTCCACTTAAAAACAGAGATTGGCCAAATTAAAACATAAAGGAGAATCTTTCCAAGTTTGATCAAAACAGTGTGTGTGATAAGATGGGAGTGATTTGTATATTACATCAAGGAATTAAGAGATCATTAAAAAAATAAGGAAAAAAAAGGAAGAAAGAGAGGTTCAAACTTCAAAGCCTAAATTATAATCCAAAAAAAAAAAAAATAACTTCTAACTTTGCAGCAATTCTTTCAAAAGTTTCGATACTACCTCTTCACAGTTCATAAAAGTTACAAAATTCTTATTGAACAAACATCAGTTAATATATTGAACGAAAATTAATGTAGTAGGATCTAGAATAATGTGTCAAATCAACGTGGAAGTCTGCTTGGATTAAGTCGGAAAAAGATTAACTAAAATTTTGAAAGAATAATAATATTTTTACACAAAAGCAAAGTTGGTGGATATGTATATTCTAATTTAAGGAGATTAAAAATGAGGGCATGAGCGCGTAAAGAGTAAAGATTACTCCCACGTTGGGTTGGAACTGGAAGTGATGGTGCCACTTTGACGTTTTCTTATCGAACCTTCCCTTACGTCTAGGCTGCTCAATTCACCAAATTATTAAACTTTTATTATCTTCGAAAAAGAAAAAAAAGAAAGACGAATTGGAAGGTAAAGGAAATGTTGAAAGTGTGTAGGAACCCAGAATCGCAATACTAAGAAATTGCAGAGTCAACGCGTCAAATTTTGGTTCTCTGCTTTTTCATAATCATAGCCGTGTGGGACTGGACACCATCCTAACATTTCACCTCTTTTATTACTATTAATTAATATAATCTCTACACTTTCTTCTTTCTCTTTGCAAATTTATCATACAAACAGTTTAGCAAGGTTGGAAATTATTCATCTTCAACAGGACCCAACTAATTCTCTTTCGACAGGACCAAACATAGGAAATACAAGATACAGATAGAAAAGATAACACCAAAGCTATACTAGTTCCTCTAAATGTAGACTACGTCTAGTCTTCTTCAACGGCAAGTTTTACTATAATATGGAGATTAGAATAGGATCTATCAAGATACCACAACACTCTAACGAACTCTACAATAATGATTCTCCGAATTCTATCTCTCTCACGCTCTAAAGAAGAACTGTTGTCGGGCTCTTCTCTCTTGCTTCACTCACATCATGGAAGGGGAAAATCTTCATTAGGATTTTGTTAGTTATACAAGCTAGTGTCAGAACCTTATAAATGGGCTCTATAGTGCTTCAAAAATAGCAGGATGTTTCAAGTCATAATACCACGACACTCTAAGGTACCATGAGGCGCCGTGGGCAGCGCCTAGGTGCTGCCACCTCGACTTCTTGGCACAATCATATGTGTGCATTGCTCCTTCACTCCCTTTCTCAAATTTCTTCAATCTGGGCTTCAACACCCTTCCAACAAGTCTTCTAAATGATTTGGGCTTTCACAAAAAACCCAACATTTTTCTTTTTTGTTTTTTTAGATATTATGCTTATAACTATTACGTAAATATTTGGTCTACAAATAATAGGCCGGGTTAGATTTCTCACCTCATGGTATGGACAGTTAGTAAGCTTTAATAAAAAAATAAAAAAAAAGTAGGAACAATGATGTAACATTCAAAAGTTGAAGGACCTAATAACTACAATATTGGAAACGCCTATTAAATTTTTCGAGGAAATAATTCTTTCCCTTCTCCAATTTCACACCCCTTTTCTAAATTCTAATAAGGACAAAAGAGAGAGAGAAATAAAGGAAATAATTGTAATTGTATGGCTGCCCTTTTAAGCAACGTGTAGGGCTCGAAACCATTACAGCCAGTTGGGTCCCATCAAGGTTGATACTCCAGAGCCAATTAGAACCACATGTCTGTCACTTACATAATCCATTAACTTCCCCAAAAATATCTTGTCCTCCACTCCTCTGCTGCCACGTAATCAACCCCTCTGCTCTAACAGTGACCACGTCACCTACGCTGTTTTAGTCCACTTTCCTTTGCCCACGTCGCTGCTCTCTTCACCGTTGATGGATCAGAAACCCCTTCATCACCGTCCCCTTTCTGTTAATTAAAACTCAGATTGTTTGTGGACACCGAAATTCATGCATATAGCAGACTCAGACTGACATTTTTAAGCTCCTTCTCTTACAATCCTGGGAAACAAAAGAAAATTCAAGCAAAAAATCTGTGCTTTCGCCAAACTTGGAATTACGTACTTTGATTTTTAAAAGGTTTGTGTTCTAAACTTGGTTCTTTTTCTGTCTGCTAAGTTGGTTGATGTTGTATCTACTGTTTGTTTTCTTTTTCTTTTGTTCTGTGAAATTCTTGTCTGCTATGGAATGCCTACAGAATCTTGATCTTTGTGGGAAAAGCAGCTATTTACTTGAACAATGGTTTATTGATCATTTGTTGAACTCTCGTGTGTCTATAACATGCATAAACAAGTAAATTTTAAAGCTTTGTAATCCCAGTTTCCAACAGTGAAAGACGATGAAGTTAATGTAGGTAGGACTTTTTGATGTTTACTTGTAAGGAAAACCAATGGCTTCAGATTGTTGTGGTGGTAGCTATGTACTAAACTAGAAAAGTGGCATCAATTTGAGCTGCGATGTCTATAGCTAAATGCAGCAAAATGGAAAGGGATACTTCTAAGATGCTTATGACTTGTTGGTGAACTGCCCCTGGGGAGATTTTAGTTCTCTCTGGTGAAGATTTTTGGCCAATGCGTTGTTTCAAGTCTAGGATTAGAGTAAATCCTAACAAAGAGTTGCATTTACCATTTATTGCAGGGTTCAGAAGCTTCCATATTAATTTCTTTTGCTTTTTTGAAGGCTACTTGGCATGGGAGTTGTGACTGTTTCGAGCTCGGCAGCACGAACTCCTCTTCGGCTGGGCGCAAAATTTTCCAATCACAATTCTACATTGAAAAGACCAACGATTGTGGCATTTAAAGCAGATAAGCACACTAACACTACTTTGGTCTCACCCCACGAGCAAGTAACCCTACCTGTGGAGAGTAATAACAGAACCAAGAAAAGATCAGGAAAAACTAGCAAGTCTTTGAAGAGAGTTAAAGCTGTCTTTACCGATGAAGCTTCTCCCTGTACTTCGGAAGTGGATTACAATGAGGCAGCTGCCAAACTTGAAAATATATTCAATCTTAGCCCTATGACAGATGATACTGATGTGGAAAGTAAAGATGGCAGGTTGAGAAGCGGTCAGCAGAGGAGGAAGAAATCAGACAAGAGATCAGGTGATGGCATTATCAGGAACCAGACTAAGAGGATTAAGCGACTAGATCTCGACAAGAGGATAGCATTGAAAAATAACAAGGAAGATAAAGCAGCTCCTTCATTAAAGAAACAAAAGGAGACCAAAAACGAGGCTGATGAGATTGATGATCTTGTTAGAGACTACTCTGCTTCAACTGACTTGGTTAGTTTAGACTGGAAAAAAATGAAGATTCCTCCAGTTCTTCCTTCATCGGAGCATACCCGTTTGTTCAAATTGGTTCAACCCATGAAGGTGAGGCTTCTCCTTCTGCAAGAAGTTTGATCATATTTGTTCTACACTAATATGAATGTAAGTTTGAAGTAAAGGCTATTCTTGTTCACTTCCTAGTAACGTTTTCCACTATCAGGCTCTTATTCAAGTACAAGAAGATCTGCAGAAAGAATTGGGCAGAGAACCAACTGAAGGTGAACTGGCGAATGCGACAAATATGAATGTGGTTCAAGTAAGGAGACAATTGGAGGTTGGTCGTGCTGCCAGAAACAAGCTCATCAAGGTAAGGATGATTTCCTTCCACAGTTAAAACATTATTGCTTCATGCTTCTGTACTACCATGACAGATTTCAGTATGGCATTCAAGAACTATGTTCAATGCCTTTAATTTAGGTTCCTAGAATATGTATTTATCTTCGGTAACATGTTGAAGTGCCAATAGATTGACTATAGCAGTAATCTGACTTATGTTATATGTGTGCTGCCTACTGTGGAAAGGATGGAACTAATGATTATATCTTACATGTGTTGCAGCATAACCTTCGCCTTGTATTGTTCGTGATCAATAAATACTTTGAAGATTTTGCAAGTGGCCCGAAATTTCAAGACCTTTGTCAAGCAGGAGTCAAGGGACTCATTACAGCAATTGATCGCTTTGAGCCAAAGAGGAGATTCCGACTGTCAACCTATGCTTTATTCTGGATAAGGCATGCTATTATTCGGTCAATGACTCTCTCAAGCTTCACACGCGTCTCATTTGGACTTGACTCGGTAGGTTCTTAATCAACTGTGGCTTTTTCGTACCTTACTTCTCTATATTAGCAATGGATTACTCTCATTCCTAATCGTCATACTACTTTCAAGTCATAACATCACATTGTCGCTGCTATATGTAGAACAACCAAAGAAGTTATTACCTTAAACAAGAGGAAACAAAGAGCAATACCAGAAGGGTAATAGGGAATATTTAGACTTTGAAGGAAAACTAAAATGTCTAGAGGGCTTGATCTTGACACCTCTAAGAAATAATTACATAAGAAAATAGAAGATTGGAAAATAAAAGACCAAGAAAAATTCGGAGGTCTAGATTCTAGCCACTATCTAAAGGGGAAGGAAGGTTCTCTTTCCATCTAGTTGTATTTCAAAAGGGAAGGTTTGTCTCTTTAAATTTAGTAGCTCTGCATTTGGACTGGCTGAATTAGCAATCGTGCTAAAGTAGCAGGAAATTTTATGAAGCAAGCTTACAAGAATAGAGTACAAGAATTTTTTTACCGTTCCATATTGACGTTAATTTAATAGTTGAATTGAATCTGTTCATTTTGCTGTATTTTGAATCCAAAACATCGCTTAAATGGTTCCTTGCACACATGGTGGCATGGATTATTGAGATTGGACCTTCTCTAGTGCAGGTAAGAGTTGAAATCCAAAGAGCTAAACTTGAGTTATTATTTGAGCTTCATAGATTACCAACAGAGGAAGAGATAGTTGCAAAAGTTGGCATCTCACCTGAGAGGTATCTTGAAGTAATGAGGGCTACGAAACCTGTTTACTCTCTCCACTCTAGGCATGCAACTACATCAGAAGAGTTTATCAATGGGATCACTGATGTAGAAGGTGCTGGAGGTGACAACCGGAGGCAACCAGCTCTTCTGAGGCTTGCTCTTGACGATGTGGTAATTTCTTTTTAATCTTGTAGACACATTTCTTTCCTCATCCAAACCAATTCATTAATCATCTGACAAAAATCTCCAATCTTCTACAATGGCTTTTGCATACAGCCAGAGACACTTTCTTCCATATTTGAAGAGAAATATGTGTCATCTTTGCTTCCATGATTTAACTTGTGAAATATATTTGGTAAAATGTCTTGTTTGAGATGTAACTGACTTGAGCTACACTACACTATTTGTCCCAAATCAACATAAACGTAGACTGTTGTAGTGACATGAACCTCCCTTCTGCTAGATTTCTTAGGCATTCCTGACTTAGGTTTACTTTTAACTCAAATTGTTCATCATATCAGTGGATACGAACTACTCTTTCTGCTGCATTATTTGATGGGATGCGTCGTGATGCCTTAAACTGTCCATATTTATAATCCTTAGTAACTTGTTGTGATAACTCTCTTCCAGCTTGATTCTCTTAAGCCTAAGGAGAGCTTGGTGATCAGACAAAGATATGGTCTCGATGGCAAAGGAAACCGAACATTAGGTGAGATAGCCGGAAATTTAAATATTTCAAGAGAAATGGTTCGAAAGCATGAAGTCAAAGCTCTCATGAAGCTGAAGCATCCTGCAAGAGTGGATTATCTTCGTCGGTACTTAATCTGAACTGATGAGAACATCATGCTTTGTTTCAATGATCTTGTACTCTGGATAATTTCCTATCGCCAAAACATCTCGAGGGGCAAGAGATATGTACCATATATTTGTAACTACTTGAATATAGAAACCTCACACCATATGATTCATATTTTAACGGACATACAATTGGCAGCTCTGCTACTTTCATTTCGGAAGATGGCAGTTTGATAGGAGAAGAACAGCAACTAAACAACAGGAATGGTTATACTCTTGTATACATAGCATGTGATATAAATATATATACTGTTTATAACATTACACCCTTTTGACCGTTTTCTAAGTTTTTTGCAGCAGAAACCATGCAAAGGAAAGATCAGAACCTATGGTTTTTTGTTTCATTTTTCCTCTTTAGAGGAAGAAACTTCTTTAGCCATTAGTATCAACTGGAAAATGGCCACAACTGTTTCTTTTTAAATTTGTCTAGAGTTGGGAGTCACTGAAATTACCTATATAAAATTGTTGGAAATGAATTTATTCTCTTCCCAGAAAAATAATCCTCGTGGAGATAAGATCTTTTTCACTGGAGGAGGGAAGAAGAACAATCCTTCTTCAGATATATCTCCTTGATTAGAAAAGAGATAAAAAGGAAAAGGAAAAAATTGAAAACTTTTTAGACTGAACACATGATAAATATTCTAAACGGATGAACGTTCAATTCACCCAAGACCAAGAGATTTCTTATATGAATTAAATATGGAATGACCACAACTTACAATCATGCGGCTTCATTAAAACGTAAAGTTTGAAAATGATATTACCTTCGTGGTTTCAAAAAAAAGAAAAAAAAAAAGAGCTGGCTCTAATTGTTAAAAACTAACCTAGGTTTATTTTAATCACTATCAAAATTGTAGATATCATTCTTCTAAGCCATTAATTAAAACTAAATCTTGAAAAGTAACCTTATATTTTAGTGAAAAGCGTGTATAATTTGCAGTCATCCCATTTCAATCAATTTTCCATTTCCCTTTCATAGACAAATCTATATGTTCAACCATTCCATAGAGACATCTATAATAACAAAAGCTTCAGTGTTGGCTCTATTTATCTACACATCGTCGTCTTGTTTATTCTCTCTCTCTCAGACAGCATTTGTGGCTTTCATCTCATAGTTCCCAGTTCAAAGAAACTGGAAATTTCTTGCCTTTCCAAATGGGGATTCTAATGTTTCCAAAAATTCTGCGGTTTCTAGATTTGAAGACATCGTAACTAAAGGATTTAATGGTTGAGAACCTGAAGTAGGACTTGGAAGTTAAGAATAGATTAAAAAATAAATTTATCTTCCTGTAATATCTTGATATCTCCTGTTGTCTCATATAAATTAAATTGGTTTTCAAATCTATACTTGTAGTTGAGAGGGTTGAATACACATTGACAATATTAAATTTACCATCACCTAACAGTCTAAACTTTTGATTGAGTCTTGTGATAGCTGAACCATTATGACCAAATTTCTCTCTCATATAAAAGAGATGATAAGGAATGATTCACTCTAACAATGGAGTGGTATTTCATTGAAGTTACTTTCACTTCAACGATCAAGATTAAAAGGGCTTTGGATCTTTCGGAGATCAAAAGAGAAAACAGAGCTAAAATTTGAGCGGCAGTAATGAATACATTGTCTGAAATGAGGGTTCTATTTTAAAGATGTAGGTGGACCAGACCATTGGATCTTATACTAAGTGAAGTTTGTACACATGCCTTTGTAAGATTTGACATGGCAGACTTGATTACGAAGAATGTTACAAATTGACTTTGGATTCAATTCAAGAGATGTCTCACGTCTACAACTCCTTGGAAAGATTTCCCAACTGAAAAAGGAAGTTCGATTGGAACACGAAATTATCCACTGCACTCTTATTTCCCATTTTGGAAAAGAATTCCTTCTCATATAAGCTACCTGAATTGCTTTGCTTTTCAGCTTGCTCTGTTTCATAAGTAGTCATGCCACTGTCCCATTAGACTGAAGGTGCACACCCTACTCACAAGGCAATTATGAACCCACATAGGTCTGCTTCGGTTGATAGATAAGAAGATTCTAAATCGACCTTCAACCTGATGGAAACTTAAAATGGTTATAAAATGTCATTGAAAAGAATGAGAACATAAGTTGGGTTGAAAGATTTTGCAAGATGAAGAGGTTTTCTAGTAACTTTCTTGCAAATTTCTGATACTTGCGTCAATCTAAGTTGGTATCCTTCGCCATTGCAAGCATAGGCCAAAATATATGTCGGTGCCAAGTATTTTACTAATACTTCTATATCCCGTAATCCAAAACATGAAGGACAAAGTGCAGCGATATCTATCAGCATTCACATTTTCCACTATTTTAAGAGTTGAGATGCAAAATATAAAGATATGCTCACGGAATGGGTTTGTATAGCGGAGTTTATTTATCTCAAACTGAATGGTAGGAACTACATAAGCTCAAACTTCCAAAACCTGCCTCTTAAACTATAACTTTTACAAAATCAAATTATCATAAGTCAAACACACAGGCCGCGTAAGCACAAGCACAAGCTACATACACCTAAACTTCTAAGACTTCCTGCTTTACACAATCCAAACACAGATTTCTCAACTGCACGGCACAAACTCAAACTTCTCAAATCTATCAATAGAATGTTCCTCTCAACAGTTAAGCATGTCTAGAGGTGGAAAAAAAGGAATGTCAAATATTTCAGAAGATTATATGGCCCTCGTTTCCAGATCACATACAAACATGGTGATATACTCCAGCCAACATTACGTGAAAAGTAAAATATCCACCAATTGACAGACATTACTTTAAATCCAGATATGGTTCGTCCAGTTTCACTACCTGAAACTAGTAACGAAAATAATCAACCAGTATACTCGTAATGCCTCTTTGTGTACAGCCATAAATCCCTACACTACCTAGCCAAAATACTGGAAACCGGAGAAGAATAACTTCTATACTTCTTATTCATGAATGAGTGTAGAATTCCCTTACAAAGCATGGGGTGCTTCAGCTACGGAAGACAGCAGCCTATAATTTTAAAGACAATGAACCAGCAAAGGGAGTAATTGTGAAATGTGTATATGAGAGAGTAGTACAACTGCCAGTTTGACTCCGAAACATTGAAGATCCAGAAGTCTTGGTGCATGTGCGTAATATCACAGCAAATCTTGCCCCCACCATTTGCCATTCATATCAATCTTTGAATTATTTCTTAAACTATAGGCTCAGTCCAATCCTGAATAGCAAGCCGCTCTGATACGTCAGCAAGAGATTTGAGATTGCATTTGATCAACGTTTCTACAACGAAGCAAGTCTCATCCTTTGTGTTTCCTTCAGGAGTGTCCACCACAAATGACTCGATGACAAGAGTCCCTGGCCTTCCTTCTATGATCTCTGGATGAAGGGAAATAATAGAAGAGTAGTTCTGGAAGAAAAGGAAAAAGAAAGTTGGTTGAATTATACATGAAGCACGAAAAGGACCAACAGAACAACAGTAGGTATTCTTCAATTGAGGCATTTGACCATGCACTACTCCACTAGGAGACTTCTCTTCTATTCTACTAAGAAATCTTATAGAAAATAAAGGGCGTTGGTTAGTTCAAATAATGAGAAGTCTTCCCAATATAACTGCAAATTATTCAAATTCCTAGTCGCATATGTGATCCAGAGGTCTATTTGAGCCATAACCCTCCCCCATTTGTGAAATGTGCGAGACAAGCAAATTGCCACCAAAGCACTTGATTATCTGGTAAAGTACCGCATCAAGAATGTTCAAAGAATTTAATTGGTTAATAATGCAGAATTTCATAATCTGTGAAGTACACATGTAATTCCCCAACTTTGATATATCCATTAGTTTACCTACTTGTCATCAGTTAGGCACCCATAGAATTCCTGTGGAGTTTAACTAGAACCCAGAAGAGTTTTCAAGACTATAAAATATATAAGATTTGGTAAATGATGCACCTCATG